CCCAAAAGGAGTGCACACCAGTCCCATGGCCAATCTAACCCGGTGGTTTTACTCCAAATATGATCCCATCTTCTCCATAATAGTTTGGCCACTGGGCATTGAAGAAATATATGTTTTTTAGTTTCCCTTATCTTTCTGCTTGGAAATGCTGAAGTACAGTTGGGACACCATGGTAGGAGTAAACCTTTTTGTTCAAGTGATGAATGATCGATTAACCAATCATTAGTTGGTAAACACCTATGGATTATTTGCCATTGTAATGAAGAAAATTTTGTCGGTCTGTCCTTGAGACCCTTGCACCATTTAACAGGCTTGAGTCTATCATGGTGAATGTTAAGATACCTGGCCCATCTTTCCTTCAGAATGGCTATGACGTCTATTTTTGGACGAAGGATGCGATATGAGGCTTTAACTGTGAGGGAGTGTAGTCTTTGAGGTTTACTTTTCCTATTAGTTTTCCATACCCATTCCAAAGGATCCAGTGGTAATTCTACAATTGACAATTCAGGGAGGAAATATCACTATGCGGAGGTTGTGGGTTCGACTTTGTCGACTCTCAAACCTCCCCTTCGCACAATCAGTTGGTGATAGCTTAGCATCCCATGTACCTGTCCCCCAGACTAGCACAGGGTACATACAAACCATAAGAGGTTGTAGCGCACTACCAGTGGGTTGAACTGAGCTGTTACAAAAAGGGATCCACGGTTCGATGCTGGTACATTTCACACAGTCAGAGACAGTTGGGGCACAGACAAGGGCATAAGAGAGTGGAGGGTCATGCAGTCAGATACCTTAGTGCTCTGCTTTGCAAGGTAGGCAGGGCCATAGGTTAGGAGCAAGGTTAGAGGCAGTGTCACTCTGCAGAGGCGTCATCATGGCAGTGATGTCCTTTGAGGGAGGGAGCGCAGAGAGGGAGGGGGCGTATGTACGTTGAATCACGAGGAGTTTGGTGGGGTTTGCGGGATCTGCACCTGTATCGAGTGGTTAAGGGTTGAGTGACATGGATGAGAAGGGCAGATGTGGACCCCTGTCGTGCAGGTGGCAGGGTAGTTCTACTTGCTTAGGTAATAGCTTAGAGACCCCCCTTCAAAAAAAATTCAACCACAGTTTCCATGAGTGGCTCAACATCCAACCAGTAACTACAATGAGATCTTCAGACTTCTTTCAGATCCCCTTCCCGCCTTCTCAGTTAGCGTTGGGCGATTTACAAAATGGTTTGGAGAGGAAAGCGGAGGAGTGGATAATCCATAAAGAAGTAGTTGTGGCCTATGTGCTCATGCTTGAGGGCATCTTGGGATACTAGTCTCTTTATTATTACAAGCTAAGCGCCCGTGGTGCGGGTGGTGCGGGTGGTGCGGGCTAAGCCCGCATAGATAAGAAATGTAGTGGGTGACCTCACACTGACCTTCCGCATAAACTCAGATAGACTTAAGAAAAAAAATTAAAAAAATCAAAGGGTAATAAAAAATATCCTCAAACCGACTCCGAAGTCAGAGCACAATTGAGGAAATTAAATTAGAAAAACGACAGATTGATGAAAGACAAAAATTTCGGGTGTTTTTGCCGCGTCCCTACAAGCAATGTTGCCGAAACTTTTGTGAACAAACCATGCAGGGTCATAATACAAAAAATAAAAAACCAAACAGGCAAAAAAAAAATGAAGTTCGCCAAATCTTTCTTCGAGTCCGGTGTTTTTGCTAAGCTTTCCGTTATTGGTCCAAATGCGGCGAAATTGAATACAGGTATACCCTAAAGCACATACATATCAGGCAAAAAGAAAAACCAAGAAAAAAGTAAAATTCATGAAAATATGGCAGTTTCGGTGAAAATTTTGCCAAAATTCACCGAAAATTGGGCCTTCTATTAACCGCTTCTCCTCCACTCTTCTCTACCCTATGACACTCTACTCTACGACAGTCTACTCTACTCTACGACAGTCTACTCTACTCTACGACACTCTACTCTACGACACTCTACTCTACGACCACTCTAATTTACGACACTCTACTCTACTTTATGACACTCTACGACACTCTAGAACACTCTACTGTACTCAACTCCACTCTACTCTGGTCTACTCTACTCTACTCTACTCTACTGACACGCTAATCTAAGAAACTCTACAACACTCTACCGTACTCTACTCTACTCTACTCTACACACTCTACTCTATGACACTCTACAACACTCCACGACACTCTACGACACTTTATGGCACTCTACTCTATGACGCTCTACAACAATGTACTGTACTCTACGACACTCTACAACACTCTACGACACTCTACAAAACTCTACTCTACTCGACTCTACTCGATTCTACTCGATTCTTCGACACTCTACTCTACTCTACTCTACGACACTCTACTCTACTTTACTCTACTCTACTCTACTCTACTCTACGACACTCTACTCTACTCCAGTGCCGGCCCCGTGAACGTGACCGGCACAGGTCACCTATCCTTGACCGGCCGGTCACCGGGCCTAAAATCCGTAAACGGCCGTTCACGGGGGCCGTTCACGGGTTTTCCGCCCACGGGGACGGCGGTACAGTCAGGATGGGGGCGGGAGGGGGGTGGTGCGGGGCCCTTCTACACCCGTACCTTCAAATCATAAAAAAAAAACAAAAAAAAGGGG